CTGCACTATAGCTTCACACATAGATGATAAATCAATCTTGTCATCTAACTCCAAGACAGAAATCCAATTAGCATATATTTCTTTAAAATATTTCTTTGTACTGACCATAGACTGTATATAAGAAGTGGACGTAGTCATGCTGGACTGCTGGTTTGAAGCCTCGAGTTTGGCCAATAGGGCGCCGCCATGTTGAGACGTGACCATATTTGGGCGAGACGGTGGAGCTAACGGCCGTGTGTGGAGCTAGCTAGCTTGCTTAGCTAGGTGAAGCTGTAATTCACGTTAACTGTCATTTTAACAGGGCTGACAATTTTGTCTTAAAGCTAAATACACTCACCAGAGAAAGTGAACATCCAACTCCTAATAAGCTTTTTCAACGGCGCTGGTTAAATTTACACAGTGCTGTGGGTAGGAGTCACTCTATCCTGATTGACAAGTTGTTACCATGGCGACCTGTCAAGATAATCCCACCCTGAAGCATACTCTGCTTTATGGTCTATTTTAAAATAAATGGGACCATAATTTACTAAATGAACATCATGTTGTATTGAAGAAGACCTGAAATTAGTGATTGAGACCATAAGCTTATTATAAGTGTTTACTGAAGTAATATATCAGCTGAGAAGTAGGGTCATTTTACCATTATTTCTAATGGAGCCAGACTTCTTTTTACAACCAGAAAAGTCGCCCCCTGCTGGCCGTTTGATATAATGCAGGTTTATAGGACTTCCTCATTGGCTTTGCGTATCAGACCGGAAGTTACCTGCTTGGTACTGACTGACATTTTCTGAAGCAGACGGTGTGCTTTAGATTGATTTCATTGTGTAACCACTAGACCATCAGGACGCCCCATCACACCAACTAATTAACAGTATCCAGTGAGTCTGGTCTGGCCTGCTCTGTTTTTGCTCGGGAATGCCTGTTAAGTGGTGAGGGGTTTGAACAGTCTGTGCATTTCTTCTGCTTCTGTTCTCCACTAGGGGGACACTGACTGGTGGCTTTTGTGTCCAGTTAAAACAGTGAAGTCAGTAAAATTTAAACTCTGTTGAGAGCAAACCATTCAGTAAAGGCAAGGATAAATGGTTTGTTTAAATTGCTTTGAATCTAGCCACTGGCAGAACTGTCGTCATGTTCATGTTAGTAAATGAGATCATCTGTATCAAGCTAAACACAGGGTTTACTGTTTACCTTGTTATCCATCATCAGTCCACATGTTTTCACAAAACTGACATAGCGATAGAGCTCAGTAGAGGAAATGAAATGTGAGACTACAAAATTTTCACCGTGAAACTACAAAATAGAGTGTGTGGGGCGAAACACTGAACTACTCACATCCTCACATTTATCAAGTCTACATCTTGTCACTGAGCCTGGTGCAGTCATAAAACATTGCAACTTGTCTTAACCTTTTCTTCTCTTCGTCTGCTCATTCCCTCACTCCAGCTCCAAAGGAACAGCCAGAAGCAAACGGTCTGGCTTCTTCACCCACCAGTCACACCAGCCTCTCACTGGGCGACGACCCAGCTGAGAAGACATCCAGCTCATCGAGCATTACAAACCTATTCTTTGATGCTGTTGGGAAGGAGCAGCAGAACGAAAACAACAACAACCCATGTAAGATGCTTTATATTGATACAAACACATAAATATGTCTTAATGGGATACGCAACTGATTTAGTGCTGATTTAGAAAATGTACAATGTGCATGGAGACATTATTGTTTAACAGGCAAAAGTATTTTCCTTTCCCTTAGATTGTCAATTTTAAAAGTGAACCACTTTACCTCCTGAGCCACAGCCGCCCAGTCTTATTAATGGTGTTTAACCTACAGCAGCTTAGCACAAAGTGGGAAAGCAGGGGAAAATTGCTGGCCTCCACCAAAAGCAGAAAAAAACATGTATTGACTTAAAACAACTCGAAAACTGTTTTAGTCACATTTTGTGTTTTGTTATCTTGTGAGCTAGTCTCAGTTCAATTGGTTAAATTTAGGAAAATTTACAAACCTGCCAACTAGGCTGTTATAGCTAGTGGACATGAACTGATATGTTGTGTCTGTGGTTAGTAAAAATAGCACTTGTTCACCGCTGTGTTTCATTCAGTCGTGGAAACTCAAGTTTTGTACCTACTGAAGTACAGTTTTGAGGTACTTGCACTTCACTTGAGTATTTTCTTTTTATGATACATTATGTATTTTGTACTCCACTACATTTATTTGACAGCATTATTTACTTTACAGATTGAGATTATTAATATAAAATATAAATTAACAGGTAAATTAATGCATTATTATGGATTAGCATCACAGCTACATTTAAAGTAGTATCCAGTATCCAGCTGCAACATTAGTAATTCTTACACATGAATACATCACTAATTATAATCCAGTGATATAATATACAGTATGTCATTCTGAAAATTGACATTGTGCCTTATTAGTATTCGAATATATTTGTACTTTTGCTTTGAGAAAGATGTTTAATGCAAGACCTTTGAGTATGTTGGTATTGTTTTTAATACCGAAGTAAAAGATCCTTCTTCCACCACTCGTTTCACTTTTTATTTTTACAAGTTAAACACACCTCTGGAGTTGTTAAGGCACCTTTGATGGAGCTAGATTAGCTGTTTCACCCTAATGCTAAGCTAGGCTAAAAAAGTATTTAAGTAAAGAAACAAGTGTTTTGGAAAATATAATGTTTTAGGTAATATTTTATACACTATATTGTATGAAATCTTGTCCTTCTCTTCTACTTTCTTCAGCGGTTTGCTCCAGTGACCCGTTCGTTGAAATAAACCTTGATGACCCGGCGTGTTGTGATCAGCTCCTCACCTCTCCTGAAGCTCCTTCTTCAGTCCTCCCCTTCTCTCCTTTCTCCTTCTCCTCCTCCTCCTCCTCTTCTTCTTAGCACCTTCATTGATGACGCCAAGATCAACATGGAGGCAGCGTCTGTGTCTTTAAAAAGATTTTTGTCTTTTATTTCAAGTCTGTTCCTAAACAAACTGGGATTCTTTGTCAGTGAAACAAGTGAAAATGTAAACTTAAGCATTTTGTTGTGATGTGTTTCGACTGGAGGTCTTGTCTTCACCTGTGGTCTCGCAACCCGTTCTCATCCCAGGGCGTCACATATGGTCGCGTTTGCAAGACCCCTTGGTGTCGCTTTTTAACACTCTGGGTACCCCTTTGGCGTAGTTTTTGTACCTCTAGGACTCCGTGGTCAAGTTAGCAAGAATAAATGTGCAATGTCTGGATACACTTTCAAAATAAAATTAGTGGTTATCATTGTGAAACATCACAATTTGGTTAGGTTTAGGTAACAAAACTACTTGGTTAGGTGTAGGAAAAGATCATGGTTTGGGTTAAAATAACTGCATTACTTACGTGAACATACATAAATTAATAAGCTGCATAACATCACTAAAAAGAAATCAATGTTAACTTTTTGTTTCACACGGGAAACGAATCCTGGACGAAAACCCAGTTTCTGATCCACCTGCCTCAACCAGCTCTTTACCTGGACTTTTCTGTTATTTAAAGTTGTACTTCAAGCATTGAACTATGACGCTGAAGGGTGCCTTGTGCATTGCTACCAGACACTGAAGGACGTGACAAAGCTTAGCGGTTTGACGCTCTGGGAAAGAGAACGGGCTGGGTCTTTACGCCAAAACACCAAAACAACAGCAGCTCAATTAACCTGAACTAAACGTTAGCTAGCTATCTAGCAAGACAAACATTTTACTATTGCAGTTAGCAGTAGCAAGCCTTTGTGTTATCGCAGTGGTCTCTTTAAAATGAATGCAGCATGTGTTTTGATGGAGCTATTATCAGCCTTAACTAACTGCTGTTTCTCAAACTACAAGAATATGATGCTTTCAAGCCATTAAAAACCTGTTTCCTAACTAAATAATGTCTTCACTGCTGGAGAGTTACTGTAAATATGTTTTCTATATTTTAAAATATGGGTTATCAAGTTTTTTTCAGTAACTCTTTAAATTCTGTACAACACATCTGTTTATAAATCCAAGAAGATGAAATGTTTTAGGGACTTGTGGTTTTGTTTGCTGGATTTTTAGTATTTGTTTTTACTTACAATTTTTTAATGAATACATTATTTGTAGAAAATAATTAGAAATAAATAAAAAACATATTTCATCTCTGTCATTTTACTTTATTTAGGTAATGCTTTGGACCTTGGGACCTTCTCTCAGCCATCTAGCCAGTAAACTAATCTTCATCTGGAGTTTTTATTCTGCTAAACAAATCCAGTTTGCATTCGCAGCTGTAGCTCTTGTTCACTTTATAATTATACTGAACTGTGTCACAAAGGCTAAGACTGTTGATGTTGTTAAAAGTCTTGATTATAACTCTTATTTCTATCCCTTTAAGAAAGAAAAAACGTTTGACCATTTTGTTTTGTCCTGTTCAACTTTACTCAGCGTTTAGGCTTTTATGGAGCATCACAAATATTTTTACGTTATCTGGTTCTTGTTGTTTTAAAAAGTGCAACACAAATAAACATCTTTATTATTATTATAAAATAAATCTATTTACATTGGACAACCACACACACTGTTAAATGTGTTGGTGAATCATTACGGCTGGTGATTTAGCTGATGCTTTTATCCAAAGCGATAAGAGAAGAGGTCGGACGGCTCTGGAGCAACTAGGGGTTGAGTGTTTTGCTCAGGGACACATTGATGGATGCGTCACAGTGGATTCGAACCCGGGACTCTCACGCAAAAGGCATGTGTCTTATCCACTGCACCAACATCACCCCCATGAATGCCTCTAGTCAAACTACATTAATAACCACTGGCAATTGTTTCATACAAATACATTTTATTTATTCCTATACACAGCACAGGCTATGAAATAAAATAAATGCTATTTATATGCAAAAGTACAAACATTTAAAAACAATTCAAAAGGTATAGCTTATAAAATTGTTTTCTAAATAAAAAAAAACAGATTATTCAACAAAGCTTTGTAGCAGTGAGCCCTCTGATTGACACAGAGACTTAGAAGAAGTCTGCAACTCTTCTGAACGTTTTATCCTCTTTTGCATCATAATTATGGGTATATGGCACATTTACTGTATCAGAGTGTGTGTGTGTGTGTGTGTGTGTGTGTGTGTGTGTGTGTGTGTGTGTGTGTGTGTGTGTGTGTGTGTGTGTGTGTGTGTGTGTGTGTGTGTGTGTGTGAGTGTGTATTTTGCTTGTGTGTATGTGGAGGCGCTCAGCCCAGACACAGAACGGAGGTGCAATTAAAATTTCACAATGACTACTTTTCTTGTTTTAATTCCTCCACAACATAGCACCACAATTTACATTCTATCTGACAAAACAGATAAAAAATACTGATGTTAACAAAGAAAAATGAGGTTTGGGTTTACTCAGTAAACATCCTTCACTTATGAAACTGAGCTTGTAAACTTTCATTTTAAACACTTACCTTCAATGCATTTTAAAGTGGCAAATAAAAAATACCATAGAAAAATATATACTTTAGTAAAGTGCTAAATTAAGTTGTTCCTAGCAATAGTGATGAGAATTACTGCTCCAAATCCTTTCTGAGAGCCGGCTCTTCATTTAGTACCACTTATGCTAGTCATAGCTTTATTTGCATTATGCTGAATTCATCATCTAATACATTGAAATATTCTGTCATATTGATGGTCAAAAAGTCGAATATGTCAAGAAATGACAAAAATCAGCTCTTAGATAGGAGCTGTCTCCCATCCTTCACTTGAATGAAGGAGCCCACTCTTCGAGCTGACTCTATCTCAAATAGGAAACAGTCTGAAGACAACAGATTGAAATGATGAAAGAACAACTGGCCTAATACTGCTGGACACGATGTAGATGAGATCATTGACAGTGGACCATACAGTCAATGTGCCATAAAACCAAAAGTACAAGCTAAAAGAGGACTCACTGTGACAATAGGATGTTTACTGACATGCCCACTGCTTGAAAGCCATCACTTCAGTTATTCAAAATAAACACGTGGGCCCAGTCACTTTTTCTTCTTCAAGCAGGGTCTGATCACATTTTGAGCGCTGGGACGTCACCCCCACCTCTGCAAATGCAAACTTCTTCCATTTTCACTTGGTGATGGGGACACATCTTTATTGGGATTAAAGTACAGAACATCACCATTCCGGTTTTGATCTGAATGACTGATGGACAGAATTAAGTGCAGATATATAATTGTCACCTACAAATCCAAACACACCTAAAACCGCTCCATTAAAAATGAGAACATCTTACTTGTTGGTTCCCACGACATAATTCTGTTAGAAGACTTGGTATGTTGAACTTCCAAATGAGAAATGTTCCCACTGCTAGGGCAGCCAGTCCAAAAAGTCCATTTAAAATCCAAACCCATGAATCAACTGTCTGTTTTGGACCTGGATGAAGACAGCACACAAGTTTTTGTATATGATTTCTGATGCATGATCTCTACAACTTCACATAAATTCAACAAAATTGGAGAAATTCAGAGAATTAAAAATAAATCCAGCAATGCATAATCTTGCTGGGGAATAAATACATGTAAATACCCTCTTCAGGAAGTGTTTTTCATCAAGCAGTCACAAAAAAAATATTCACTTTCACACACTACTTTGGCCAGATGGTGGGACTATAATAATCTTAATCTCATATTGGTAAAAGGCTGCTGAGCTGAGCTAACTGTCTTTTCCACCTATCCTCTGGATCAAAACTACCATCCCCGAGACAACCGCTGATTTCAGTGTCGTGAGTATTAAAATCAGTTGGCAGAGATGTGAAAATGGTGTGAGATGGTAAATCCATCAGATTAAATAGCATGTTTCATTTTGGTCACATTTGCATTATTAATATGTGGTACAGCAGTTAATGTCAGAAGCTGAAAATACATTTGTGCTTTGCACGCAGACACTTGTGTGAAATTTAAAGTGATTACTGGACTGAAAACATTATTTCTGTTATGTTTAGCTCAGAGCTGACACAGGAAAACTGGGGATTTGGACCCAGACGCAGGACAGACGCAGAACATACAACTGTGAGTGAGGCAGGCAATCCAAAGCAAAGCACAAACAATGCCATGAATGGCATGAGCGAGAAATCCACAAGGTAGAAAATCCACAAGACACCAGGGAACACAAGAAACAGAGCTGAATGCTCAATCTGCTCAGGACCTATATACACAAGAGTGGTGGAGATAAAGAGACACATGTGGAAACAAAGTAAGACAAGGACACCAGACGCAGCACAACTTCAAAATAAAACAGGAAACACAATGACTATTTCTATATTTCCTAAATATGTTTTACATTTACCCATTTAGCTATGATCCAAAGCAACTTACAAGCACTAAATATGTCAGTCGCTGTACTCACAACAGGAATTGAACCCAGGTCTCCCTCACCAAACGCATGTGTCTTATTCACTGTTTCATCACCAGCCATTATTTCTACATGAGTAAAATAACTGTTCACTGTGCTGACTTACCTTCAGTAGCTGCTGGTCCAGGTGTTGGTGTGATGGGGGGCACATCACTCTTCTTTCCACCATTGGTGGGGAGCCCATCCAAGACAAAACTTTCTGTTGGCAGAAATCATTGTTAGTGTTACAGGAGCATTTGCATGTTTCCCTTTTAACTGAAGAATTTGCTGAAATGAACCAAATCAGCAAAGTTCCACTAAGACAACTCACCACTGTCTAAGGTGCTGCCATTTATATCGATTAATTTACACATGTAGTTTCCCACGTCATTAGGCCTGAAATGTGACAACCTGATATCCATTATGCATCCACTGATGCTGTAGCTACCTTTATCCGTATCACTACCTTTAAGAATGCCTAAAAGCTCCTTGTGAGTATCTGAATTGTAAATATAAACAAGGTCAATCTGGGACATGTTGGGTGTCTTCTGACCACACATGTTCACACTTATTGTTGTAGATCCATTGTGTATCCTGGCGGTCACATTCATAAAACATGCCTCTGTAAAGGAAAGAGAGCAATAAATTAACAAGACACTTCCAATAGTCGTGTTTGTGCTCTACTAGTTCATACCAAACCTATTAAAATGGAGTCTATTGTGTGTTTTAATGTTCATCCCAAGTCATTTATGGTGGCTTCAAATTAAGAAGGTGGAAACTAACCAGAGACACAAGAGGCCAGGATGATGATCTGCAGGATCCTGCAAAACATTTGTTCCTGTCAGAGGAGACAGAGATAAACATGAACACCTGACACAGGTTCAGCCATCAGACAGCAAACAGCGTCTTTCTTACAATGGCCTTGAATGGACTTTGATTTATGAGAGGATCAGTCAATAAAGTTAAGCATACAGTTGTGTACAAATGTGTACAAAAACTATTTGGCAGATGGGCCCAATGGTACATGAGATTAGCGGACAGGTACACACACACACACACACACACACACACACACACACATACTGAGGCTACAAGAACAAACAAGTGATCGCCTAGAGGGGATAGTAACTGGAATGAAAATTGGTATGTCAAGACTCAGCAGATCTGAGGGAAACTCCCTGAATGTGAGTGAGTGTGTTTTGATTAATTTTCTCTGTTCTCTGAGCGAGGGAGGGGTGTCAAGTGTTTTTGGGCTCAAGCTGTTTGTTTGTGTTCTCTGTCCTTCTCCCTCTCTATCTCGTTCGCTCTCTCTGTTGTCCCTTACTTCCAGGGTGAAGTTGTGGGCTTGGCTCCCTGTGGCTGATCGTCCACTCACACCTCCTGGCAATCACTTATTGGCACTCCTGTCTCCCTGCCTCTGATAGCTCTCCTTCGAAAGCCTGGCTGGTCTTCCAGTCTTTGCTGGTTTGTTAAGATGTGGACAGTGAGCGTAATGCAGCTTGCATTTTGCGTTTTCCCTTTTAATTAAAGAACTTGATAAAATGAACCAAAACAGTGAAGATCTATCTAAGATGCTGCCATTATATTAATACATTCACACGCTTATTTTCCACGTCATTAAACTTCAGTCATTACAGCGTAATCATTTTATATGTTCACTGCTGTTCATCAAAAGTACCCTTAAAAATGATCATCGTCAGGTCTGTAAGTAAAGCAAAACAAAAGTGCGTAATGGTCTTCAGACATGTCAGTTGTGTTCTGACCACACATGCTCTCATTCAGCATCCTGGAACTGTTAAGTTGCTAAGCGGTCATGTTCATCAAAAGATGCCAATGTTATTGTATTTTATAGTCAAAGTTATGTTGTTGTTTAATAATGCAGTCTGCAATTTGGACAGTTTTACAACACAACTTTAACAAGAGACAGCAGCCGGGAAGGTTTTAAAAACACAAGCAATCTTTTTAAAATAGTCAAGAGTAACAAATGTGTAGTTCACACACAGTAAGGGGTTTAAACAAGCCAACTTATGTTATGTTCTTAAAATCAACTTGCAGAGCCTTGCCCAGAGTCAATACATGACAATGCACAGGATAAGTGGTTTATAAGATGGATAGATGTATATTAAGAACTTCATACACTCTACAAGGTTCTCATGAATGAAAATATGAATGAACAAAGAAATCTGCCAAAGATGAGCTTGAGAGTGCAGCATATCAGTGGAAGAAAAGGGAGTTACAAAGGAAAGAAAGTAAAGATGTTAAACCTGAGCCGCCGGAAAAAAGGTCTCCTATGTGCAAGTTTAATAAACTGTACACATATAGTGGGGCTATATGTATATATACATATATATAAAATAATGAATTAAATAAATAAGATATAAATGGCATACAGTATGACACAATCAAGGTGCTAGGCATACAACTGGCATACAATTCAAAAGGAAATGGTAAAAAAAATCGGATTTTTTAAGCAAACTGGGTTTGAAAAGATGTCATAACAATGAAACATGCAAGCCATCTGCACTTTTTGCATTTTTTTGTTACTAAAATAATCAAAGTGAGTTAAATGGCCAAAAACACTTTACCTCTTTCTCTCTATCACTCCGTCTCTCTGACTTTGTTCTTTACTCTTACTTCACCTAGGAAAGCCTATAACCACACCCTCCATGGATTCACTCTCTCTTTCTTTGGATGTTATCATTTAGTTATCAATACTGCATGGATATCTGTTGATACATATTATGTTAATCAAGTTGAACATCATAGGTGAGCATGTGCGGTTGGAGCGACTCCAGGTCAGGTCAGGATACTTTATTTGTAGAAATTTGTCTTTGCAGTGGACAAGTCATCTTCACATTTGGAAACAAACACAAGACACTAAGACAAGGAAAGTATACGGACAGGAAAACAAGTAGATTGCATTTGCAACAATCAATCATTCATTACATTTATTCATACGTTCATCCAAAGCGACTTACAATTGCCATATATGTCAGAGTTCGCTCGCCTCTGAAGCAATTAGGGGTTAAGTGTCTTGCTCAGGAACACAGCGGTGGATGTGTCACAGTGAGGAGTTGATCCCGGGTCTATCACACCAAAGGCATGCGTCTTACTGCCCCATCACCACCCCAATCAACAAGAAATACTCCTTGCACGCAGTTAAATGCAAATGCTATATACATATTTTTGTGTTAATTAAAACTGTAGGCTACTTACTTGGATGGAGGTGAGGTTGGTTTTGGGATGAAAATATCCAAACCTGTGACATTCACAATGACTTTATTGACAGACAAATGCGTTTTGACTTGTGGCCTTCATCAGCGTTGGTGCAAAAGAACCCGTGTGAGGTAATATCTTGGATTTTTACTCATGACTCACTGATACACGCCTACTCACGTAGTAACTACAGGGCAATCAAAGACAATCTGGGAAAAAAAACTACATAACCAGAGGCCGTTTTCATGAATGCTGAGCAACTCATGGTTCACGTTTAATATGCTGCCATGCTGCTGACTGAAAAATGCCGGTCCTCATCCTCTCCCTGAACATACAGTAGCTGCAGCATGTCTGCCTGTCTGTCCTTAAAATTATTTTCCATTTTAATGTTGCACATAATTTCAAAGAGAGATGGATGTAACATTCAAAACCTTTTTAAAAACCAAAGCAGTTTGTCCTGTAAAATACAGTATCCACCAGCTGACATGATGCATTTGTGATGAAACAGTTCCAAATCCTGGTTAAATTGTTTTATCAAGTGACTCAGATTTAAGGTAAAGTTACTAGCTCTTTAATAAAAAAGCACAGGGAACTATTACCATTTAACCATTTAGAGGCCAACTAATGTTTTAGCACGTATGGTACTGCATCACATTTTCTGCACTGGAAGGCCATCCTACCGGGGACTTTTCATCTATCATAGTGAACTGTTGCTGTTTAGTTTTCCAACACAGGGGCACCAGGGGGGCAATCACCCCCCACCTCCATGAGTCCATTAGTGATACTGGTCCAGCCTGAGAGCTACTCTGGAGTGATGCGCATGAATTGCCTTCAGCCACTCACCCTGCCTCAGCTTTCCCTCTCCCTTGACCTGGATGCTGTTTGCTGATTTGTGCATGTCGGGGCAGGATTTTCTCGGGCTTAGGCTGTCATCTGTTTTTTCTCTGTAGCTTGTTTGCCTCAACACTGTGTGCAACTCATTTAACCTTTAAAGACTCTAAATATACATGATCTCTTCAGAGCATTTTGCAAATAGTTTATATGCTCTAAGCACAAGTGTTTTCCATTCTTCCAGCTTTGGGATCCTAACCTGGAAGATAATGTCTTTCAATGTAAATAATGCAACCCTAGCTGTCCATCTCACACCATCAGCTGGAAAAATACAGTACGGCAGGTGTGGGGCAGTCTCTCTAAAACAACACATGCCCATGTGTGAAAGTGAAAGTTTTGGTTTCTGTAATTGTTCCTCTTGTCCATACTGGTCCTGAAGAGATCCCTTCATAATGTAAGAGACACAGGAAAAAAATTCTCATTCTGTGTAAAAATAGTATCTGAAGTTCAGTCAAAGCTAATTTGAGTCTTCAGCAGTCAGAGTCAGACAAATCAACTGGGTATCTTTCAGTGTTTTTAGTGCGTTTTCATTTGCTTGTTTACATGAACAGTTTTCAGTTTTAGTGATAGAAATAAACAACATGCAACAGTGCAATGGAAAGAATTAAGCTTGTGACTGAAGAGAAGACAACATCAGATCTGCATGGAGTGATGAGACAGTTTCATACTAACAAGACCATAAATTTGGGAGATACACACTTAATTTGTGAAACACAGACATTTGATCTTCATCTGAACTTTATCTTTCATCGGCCCCATTGATTGAAATCACACTGGGAAATAATATTTAGAGGCCAGTGTGGAGAGGAGGAATTATTACAGCAACTAATATATGTTGTTATATACATACAGGCATGTGAATATTGTTTTAAGAGATCTTTGAAAAGCAGGGACTGATACCTGCAGTGTAAGCTATATCCGGCATAACACCTGAAGACAATCACAGATTACTATATGAAGGCAAACAACACTGACAGAACTGTTCAAAGCAGATAAATGCAAACTCCAACTGCTGGAAGCTTAATGAACAGGCGTTTATAATGGATGGACCCTCAGTGAAGCCATGTTACAAGCACAACTGGAAATGAAACTGCCTTTAAAAGACTGTTCAAAAAAACAGGTGGTGGAAGAGAGAGTGCAGCGGGTCATACTCTTCTCCTTCACCCAAAATGAAAAAGGCCCGTTTATCCTTCTCCTCACAGGCAGCAGGAGAAAGAACCCAAATGCAGACAACCAGGCAGACGGGAACATTTCTGTGACTTAATAGCAAAAGATGATAATACATAAACTTACAGGCAAGGCGGCAAGTCTAAACTGAAGTGGGAGAGAATCCAGAGACAGGAATGTGGCAGGTTCAGGTGTTTGGAAAGCACCTGGCTCATTAAAAAAAAAAAAAAAAAAAAAAAAAAAAAGAGTGTCAGAGTGAAAACAAAAACTTAACATGCCGACTATATTGTGAATAAATCAAAAAGGCTGGTTGTCATATTGGCATTAGTTGGAATGCAA